CAGCAGGCCCCGGCGTTTGACCGGGTAGGGACGTGCAGGCACCGGGGAAAACGCGGTGTCCCCCCGGGGCGGCACAGCCCGGCCGTGCTCGCTGCTCGAGCTCCTCTTCCTCTGCCAGGGGAGGTTTAGATTGGGTATTAGGAAAAATTGCTTCACTGAAAGGGCTATCAGGCACTGGAACGGGCTGCCTGGGGACATGGTCGAGTCCCCATCCCTGGAGGTATTTAAAAGCTGGGCAGACGAGGTGCTTAGGGACATGGTTTAGTGGTGGACAGGTACGGTTGGGCTCGATGATCTTAAAGGTCTTCTCCAACCAAATGGTTCTATGAAAATCAAGACAGCCCCCTCCCAGTTAAGTCTTTTATGGGAATTAAACAGCAGGGGCCTGACGCGTGCCAGAGGTCGGCAAAGAAAGCTCCTTACCCGAGTTTTTTCAAGCCTGGTGCGATTTCCAGGCTCCCTGGCATTGCTGAATCAAAGCAAGTGGATGCTGAGGAGCAAGAGCTTGGTCTGTGTGGGGGAGAGGTGCAGGGGCTGCGGGCTCCATGCTGCAGCAACGGGAGCAGGATGAAACAGGGTCCTTGTACTTCATGTGCCTCTGGGCTGGTAGGGAGCTCTCAGGCATTTGCACTGCAAAAGATAAACTGGTCTGTGGGTTAAATCTTTTAACTATTCCATGTCTAGCTTTCTAAGATGTTACTCAGATTTCTGTTACCCTCCTTCCGTGAGATGCTAGGAGATGGGTGCCCAGATCCCAAATTTCCCAGTGTTTGGAGGCTCAGGCCAGACCTGGACTGCAGCAGCAATGCATCCTCCTCTCTTCTTTACGAGATGCTTTTCTAAAAGCCCTGTGTGATGTGGGAGCCCATGCCCTGGAAACACTCATTCCTGCATCCCGTAGGCACTCCTTGAACTCCTGAAGTTCAGTGTGAATTTTATGATTCGCTGGTTATTTTCTAAACAAGCGAAAGGCTCCTGTGCTGGGCACAGTTCAAGGTTATAGTAAGGAAACAGGGTGGGCCATACATCACAGCACCCTGGTTTGATATGCTGCAAGGGGTGGGATGGATCCCAGCCACCATTAGCTGGCCAGGGAGGAACCGGCATGATAAGAATGGAGAGATGGATGTGCTGTCTTCTAGGTGCATTGCTGCAAGAGGTGAATGGTGGGAGAAGAATAATAAATGAGCTAGTATGTAAAGCAATGGGATAGCCCTAAGTGTCCTGCTACTTGAGGCCTGGGCTCTGTAAGGTATCCTTTAGTGAGGACAAGCAGGGGACCAGGACCTTGAGCCAAATGCCTCTGCCTGTACTAGGGCTTCAGTCTGTGTGAACATGCCAGAACCAGGACTGCTGGGTGCTCCCTAGAGCACCCAAGTTATGCATGTTGGCAGGGCAGTCAGGGGCATGAGGACTGAATCTCTTTGCTTCAGGGTCTCTTTGGACTATAAAATGAATGGGCTCCAGTGGAAAATGAATGCAGAGCTTTGCAAACTGCTGTCTTTGGGATACCACATCCCACTGTGCTGTGCTTTACAGAATAACTGTAAACTCCTTAAAGATTACACTTGCTTTAACACCACCACCGCCTCCTCTAGGAAATAAGGGTAAATCCCCATAATCTTGTCATGCTTGTGCTTAGTGGTTGCTGTAGCACTCACCCGGCACTGGGCCATTTTCCCTATGGTCTCTCAGCTCACTTGTGTGATTTTGTAGGGTGCTGAAGATGGCAGGCAGCTCCGCTCCTTGGATCGGCAGCGCTTATCTCTTCCTTCAGTCCACGTGCAAGACTATTGTTCTGCCGTCTCTTTATGAAAGCTCCCAGAAGAAACCTAGCGTGTTCAAGGCGCTGAAGCTGGCATTAGCAGGTACCCAGCCTCTCTGATATCTTGGCATGCTCTCTCACGTCTTTGTGCAATGCCATGCCTTTCTTTAATCTCATGCTTATGGGTAAGGAAAGCTGGTGCTCACTGTATTTAGGAAAGACAGAAAAGTGGAGCGAGTTCAGCAGATGGTTGGGGGCTGGAGCACTTGTCCTGTGAGGAGAAGCTGAGGGAGTTGGACCGGTTCAGCTTGGAGAAGAGAAGGCTTTGGGCGGACCTACCAACAGGCTGCCAGTACCTATGAGGAGGGGGAGATGGAGCCACACTCTTCACAGTGCTGCATGGGGCATGAGAGACAGCAGGCATAACCTGAAGAATGAGAGGTAGGCACCAGATACAGGACAAACATTTTCCCCGTGAGGACAGTCAAGCAGTTCCCCAGAGCGACTGTGCATTCTCCATCCTTGGGGGTTTTCAGAACCAGACTGGATAAAGCCCTGAACTACTTGGTCTGACCTCAGAACTGACTGCCTTGCACGGGAGGTTGGGCTTGAGACTTCCTGGGCTTCCTTCCAACTTGAACTATCCTGCAAGTTATCCTACTTTATGAATGTTTGTTTAAACCCATTTACATAAGAGAGGAAAAGATTGCAATTGCTATGAAAGAAGACTTCATTTCTGTCTTTATACCATCACAGAAACATGATTTCTGGTTTGAGAAGCTGATTTTTAAAATGACACTATAAGTCATTTTCTGATACAAACAGGCACAATCACATTTGGCTTCAGCTGTATGTGATCCTGTTTACATTAGAAAAGTACTTGAGATGCAAATGGTCATAAAACTATGTTTCTCTATTCATCCTTGCACCAAGCTGACTGCAGAATTATAGTAATTTGAAGAGTTTATCGTATTTACCTAGAATGACTGTCGTGGTGTTCTTTATCTGTCATACAGCTCAGCCGATATTGTTTGACTGAGCTTGTGTAACTATACTGTAATTTCTTCTGGCAATCATCAGTCTAGCAGAGTCAGCTAGTTTATCCAATACAGGCCTGCTCATCTTGCAGCTCGATCCAAAGATGTGAAGCAGCAAGAAGCCTGACACAGTTGTCCAGCTAGGCTCGATTTATGGCTGCTTTGTGCCACTGGAATGTGAATCTGCTCACATATTTAAAGGAAAGCCCACCAAAACACTAAATCATACCATGCTTATTCAGACCTAAAAAGGACATGAAATCTGAAGCTGTCTGAAGTTTCATGAAGAAATGTGTGCAAAGTCCTCTCTTTTGAGGTAGCTTTACAGCTGTCTTGTACGCTATTAATAAAGGTTTCCATGTCTGTGCAGCTTTTCCCTTCCCAGCCCTCTTGCCCTTTTGGAAGCTTTTGTTTAACCAGTGCTCGTGAAAAACAAAGCATGAAGGAAGCGATAAAAAGACATTTCTGGTCAGCCACAGTGAATTAAAACACCTCTCTTGGGTGCCTAGCCCCATGTCCCAGTTACACGTCTGGTCTGAACTAGACTTTCTGATGCAACCAGAACTCAGTAAACCCTGTCAAGCCACTGTTAGATCACATACTTTTAAATTCCACGTCATTTGTCCTGCCTAATGTGGAGCACACAAGTCTGCTTTGCCTTGGGATTGTCCTCCAAGCATGTCTAAATAATGCTGTGACCCGTGGTTTAGAAATACTTGATGTGGTGCCAGTCTGAGCTGGTACCTCCGTACAGCCCTGTGTGGCGACAGGCTGAGAGGTTAATTCAGGTCTGGAAGCGGTACAGCCAGCCTCCCACAGGCCTCTGCTGCAAAAAAAGAGAAAAACACATACTCTACAACTGTCATCATCAGCATATAAAACCCCCATGGAGACAAGGTCAATGCGCACAGCCAGTCAAAATTAAATTTTGCTGGGAGAAGGAAGAATAAAGGCCTGGACAATTTCTGTTGTCCGTGTCACTCCTGGTCCCCCCGCAGTAATGTTAGAGGCTACATCCCTGGCTTCTCCTTGCTTAGATTTTACCGTGAATTAATTCTCTGTACAAAAGAGTTTAGCTAACAAGTCAAGGCCCAATCTCAAGCAGCCTAATTCCTGTGGCTGAATCTATCATTCGCCATTTGAGAGATGTGCTGAAGGCTCACAGCCAGACAAAAGTTACCTCTAGGCACAGGGTAGAGAGGAAACCCTGGGTCTCTTCCCAGAACCTTCATCACCGCATAAAACTTCAGTCACAAGGACTGAAGACTGACCAATCGCTGAGCTGAACTATGTGCTTTCATCTATAAAACTTTGCGGTGCTACCAGTTTAATGTAATCATTTCTGTCCTGGAAACACAACATCAAACTTAAAACTTTCCCCAATAAACAGTATTGGGATAATTACCTGGGCTGTAGTGCCATACAGCTTCAGGTGGACACCATACTTCATGGAGATAGATGGTGGCGGGGCAGCAAAAGCTTAATCCTTTCCTCCTGGTTTTATGTACAGGTTTTTCATCCCAGAGGACTTTATCCCAGAGAGAAGAGAATTCAAAAGCTGCTCCATTGCAGGGTTGGTGGTGGATGGGAGTGGGACTGGGTTGTCTGTCTCATGTCCAGATAGTGACTCTGCTCGCTTCTCCCTGCCAGACTCCACCGGCAGCATGAATGGTGTGGACATGCTCAAAGTGCACTGCAGCCACCCACACCTGATAGTCCAGCTCAAGTTCTGCAAGCAGGAGAACTGCCGTCGGTTCCTGCGGAGTTACCGGGAAGGAGTGCTCCAGGAGTCCCTCAAGAATCACCTCCAGCTCTTCTTGGCCATCACCACAGTGCCTCTTGAAATGGAGCTGAAGGCTGGCAACGAGCACCTCGACAACATGCTGAAGGATGAGGATCGCTGCCTGGAGTGCATCTACAGAGAAAAGGTGAGTGGGAGAGGGAGAGAGGCCTGGCAGCAATGAGGAGCAGTAGCAGAGGACTCAAGAAGCTGGGCACAAATCTTGCTTTGCTGCAGCGTGCTGGGCTGTTGACTTCTCTATCCTTCAGTTCTCAACTGTGATATGGAGAAAGAGCTCTGCCCTTCCCCAGAAAAAGAGCCATGGACTTTTCTGGAAGGGCGACAGTTACCTAAACCAGCCTACTGTTAAATTACTGTGGTTTCTGTGTATAACAATTAGCATGGCTGTTATCACCACTAAGATGAGGAATTCTAGAAGGTGCAGTTGAGAGCACAAGGAAAGCGTGCCTCGATACATCTGTGAGGCAGGCAGAGAGAGCAGCAGTCCTGTGTGGAACCGTCACCGCTCAGCACCTTCCTCCCCTGCCTCGCACACCGCCTCCTCCGAGAGCAGCGATGGTAACTGCACCTAGAAATGAGCCTGTGTGCACTCTACATGTTATAGCAACAACTCGTGACAGAGCAGGGACACGCAGCATCTGCTGCCAGCAGGAACAGGCTGCCCTTCTGAAGGCAAAGTCTCTCTCTCAGGGGTGATCTCTAACGTCCAGCTCATCGCATGCTTTGGCACTGGCACTCTAACCCTGCTAGCAACAACAGTGACATCTTGTCATCGCACCACAAAACAAAGGCACTTGGCATGATTAAACTCATTGCCTTTCTCCTCTCCTCTTTTTTTCCATCTGGAAATAGTGATACCTTATAGCTTCGGTTTCCTCTAGATGGTCCTGAGAAAGAGGCTGTCACCATCTACTCAGGAAGGTTGGGCACAAGAGCATGTCTCTCCAGGTTGCTTTTCTGCAGGCACAGAGTGAAATGCAAATCTTTCAGCGCTGGACCAAACAACATGTGATATCTTATACCCTGTCAACTTCTGCTTGCTGCTCCCTCCCCGTGCTGAACTAGCTGACTGGACAAGAGAAATGGGCTTATTCTCAGTTCCCCAAAACTGACCCAGCCTGACCTCTGCCTAACAGTGCAACAGTCAGAAAGATGACACTAGGGCACAGCAGTCACTGGCTGAGGACAGTTCTGGGTACGTGAGCTAAACACTGGACTGAGTCAGAGCACTCGCCAGGTTTGACTCTTCCCGTATGCTTTGCCACCTTTACTCCTTTTCTCATAACCTGCCTTTTGGAGGTCAGACTAGTTTTCTCGTGGTCAGTGAGAAAAACTGGCTTGGAGAGGATCCAGGAACAGCAAAACTTAGGTAATGAAGGGGCAGAGAGAGAGAAGGGGGGTAGCAGGAGCTAACTGCTCTGGTTTCCATGAGCTATTGGATCAGGTCACCCTGTTCTGTGAGTCTGCCCCTTATGTGGAGTAAGTCAGAGAAGCCACACTGCCTATGGTGCACCCTAATTCTTGCAGAGGGCTGCTGAAAATAAACATGGACTAGTCACAGTTTTGTGCGACTTGTAAGCACTCACTGCTGCATGTGAGAAACCCAGGAAGGTGAGATCGCCTATTTCATATCACCTTACAGATTCAGATTCACAGATTTACAGCCAGAACCCCACTAGACTATCTCATTTGGTCCTTTTACAACTCAGGCTATAGCTATTCTCATTGCTCCTCTCTTGACACCATCGTCTCAAGATGCACTTTCCAGCTAAGCATCTACAGCTTTGCAAGGTGGTGAACCTGGCACGAATCACTGACGCTGTTTGCATTACAGCCTGACCGCCTGCGGGACGAGGAAATCACAGAGCTGGAGGAATGCCTCAAGAGCCTGATTGTTCACCAGAGCTTCAACAACAATATTGCTGTAAAAGACTGCACGTCTCTGAACTCCCCATCTCTACCTCATCCTTCTCAAGGCAGATCCGTTGTCCCACAAGTCACCTTCATCTTTCAGGGACAACAGTTTGGTGAGTAGCTAGAACTGACCAAGAGAGCACTTGGTCTTCCTCGCCTCAGAGCCCCAGAGGGAGGATTAATGTGACTACATATTGGGGTCTACCTCAGATAAATCAAGGATTTCCCAGCATTCCCTAAGGAAGGAATTACCATCATCCTAAGATACTGCCATACTACTTCAGATCAGGCCTCAGCCTGTTTTCTTTCCGGGGTGGCACAGAACCAGATGCTTCAGTCTGCATCCCTTCCAGTTTCCTCACATTTTAAAACCCTTTAATACTGAAAGGAAGAATACAGAGCAGTTCTCTTCCTCCACGTCATTTGGTTGAGGTGAGTTAATAGCATAGGTTGATCACACTGGGAAGGTGACTACAGACACTATGAGCCCTGCTTTCAGCCAGGACTGATTTGTCCAGGCTTCCTGCAGTACACCGTCTTTCTCTGGGGTCTGTCCCCTACAGAGAGCTTTCAAATAGTCTCACGTGGCAATTTTAGCCTGAGATCAGCTAGATCATTTCTGAGCATGCTTAAGCTGCATATACCATCTATGGGGCTAAGCAGCCAAGGAGAGAGCTCCTGTCTGCGTTTCAGTATTCTGAGGATGCTTAGGTAGGGAACAGGGAACTTGGTCAGAAAGGCCTCGCCAAGTTGCTTTTGAAAGGCTGAAGCAAATAAAGAGGAAAAAGAAAAAAAAAGATCTCTGTCAAACCACGGGACAGTCCCATCACGGGGGAGGGGGAAAAAAAAAAAAAAAAAAAAAA